CATCTTGAATACTACCCAAAGGGACTCTGGTCGGCTTACAATACAGTACTTTGGCCTTCCCCCCCACCCCCGCACTCCTGGAGCAGAAGGCCCTCTGTACTTGCTCAGAGGCACGGGAGCCAGAAGACTTAAAGCTTTACAATAATAATAATAATAATAAAAACCTCACTAACAAAACCCGAACGCGGCGCCAGCGCCACCTAGCGGCTTACCTTCTCCAGACAGGACCCTTGAGGGGGCGCGGCCTCCGCTGCTCGCTGCGCCTCCCGAGACGCTCATTGGCTGAACCGCGCGCGTGCGCAGCTTGCGGTCCTCCAGCATCCCAGAATGCCGCTGTACCCGGAAGTCGCGCCGCCGCCGCCACCGCCTCCGCCGCCGCTGTAGCTGTGCGGGGAAGAGAAGCCGGGATGGAGGACGAAGAGCTCGACTTGGCCGACGAGCTGGAGGCCGCCTTGCAGCTGGCGCCGGAGGTGCAGCTGGCCATTGAGCAGGTGAAGGGGCGAGGGGCGTGGTTGGGAGGGCGAGGGGGCGTGGCTTGGGGACAGGGCGGGGCCTTAGTATGCTAATTAAAGAGGTGGGAGAGGGAAGGGTCAGGTGGGGGCAGGGGGCTGCTTAGAGAGGGTCCATACTTAAGGGGGGCTTATTGGGGGCAGCCCCCCTCTAGGGAAGGGTCCCTGGAGGTGACCCTAATGGGGGGGACAAAGACCCCCTGGGATTTGGGGGCTGCTCAGGAGCTTTGGACTCCAGTTCCCATCAGCCTCAGCCAGATGGAGATGGGGTCCCTTTGGAGATGGGATTGTAGGGGTCCAGGGGAAGGCTGGGGTGTCCACAGGGGTCCTCCAGAAGAGATAAAATGGGTGGGTGGGCTGGATGCCTTTAGGATGACAAAGTGGGGGGGCAGCACCCCCAAAAACCTCATCATTTTCTACCCATAGTTAAGAAAATAGAGGCCCAAATTTCATTCATAAAGTCATCAATCCTTTTATATGTGCACTCTCAAGCTTCCTCGCTGTATTCAAGATGGACAGTGATTC